CGAGATCACCTCTGTCATTGTACGGAAAACGTTCCGCCACACATCTCCGCACACGCACACGCACACGCACACGCACACGCACACGCACACGCACACGCACACGCACGGCGGCTGCGACACTTTGCTCATCGAGGCGCGTGTGGACAGGCGGGCGAGGAGGCGCCGCCCGTGCAGGTTCTCAACTTCATCTACCGCGACTTCCTGGCCATGCAGAAGGTCGACATGGGCTGCATCCCCTACATGGGCTACATCACCCGCAAGGAGAAGGACGGCGAGAACGAGGCCCGCGTCTACAAGGTACCTTCGTCATGGAGGGAGGCTAAGGTGGCGGTGTACGGCGTGCTGGTTAAGGTGGCTGACTGACGTCACACAAGGGAACGACGAGCCACATGGTGCGCACGGCGCCGAACATGGACTTCACGATCGACGACCTCTCGACCTACTTGCCCGTGCGCTATCCGTTCTACAACTTCACCTCGGGCACCTACGGCCCGCTCCAGAAGTCCACCAGATGGATCTCCAACATCGGCTCCAACAACGTACGTCTCACGTATGCGTGTGCGTGTGCGTGTGCGTGTGTGTGTGTGGCTGTCGAGCGTGTAATGATTGCAACACGTGTGAACAGGTGCCTGACGCGGTGATGAGCGACATGGCCGCGTTCTACACGCCCGGCTGGGGCTTCATCGACCCGTTCTACAAGTCCGACGCAGCCGGCATGTATCCCAACTCGGGCAACTACGGCATCGAGTACCGCATCGAGGTGCGCTCCACTGCTCACGTGAGGGACTGTGTCACTTTCGCTTGGCTCAGCCGCACGCACCACCGCACACATCACCGCACACGCACGCACTACCGCACACGCACGATCAGGGCACGATCACGAATGTGGGCTCCAAGACGCGCAATGTGACGTTCAACATTCAAGTGCCGACCAACTGCCCGCTGCTGTCGATCGCCTACGAGACCAGGCCCGGCGTGTGGGCGGCGGACTACGTCACCTCCGCCAGCGTCGTGGTCACCTATCTCTCCATCGCCGTCCCTGCCACCAACCTACCGGTACCCAATCCTACCACCTTTTCGTTTTTCGTTCTTTGCTTCAGTGTCGCTTTCGTTCTTTGTGGCTGTGAACTCAGTGGCTGGGTGGTGCAGGTGGCCTACAGTGCCAAGTACGTGGTGGGCGGTCCTGCCTGTGGTAACCTGGCCAACTGGGTCCAGGTCCTCTCTTGATGCGAGCAACCTGTTGTTTGTTGGGGCGTCCACGTCAGCACCATTTTGCCATTCAGTTCATGTAAGAAGTGATGTGTGAAACGAATGTAACACACCAGCACCCGATCTGGAGGCGAGCTTGGATTGTTGGCCGAGATGGATACACCAACAGCAACAGATGAGTTCCCTCTCGAAGCACTTCCGGCAGAGCTCAAGGTGGCCATTTTCATCCACCTGCCCAGCCTCGATTTGGCTCGTTCGATCGCGAGGGTGAGTCGCGAATGGAGGCAGCTGGCGAGGGCGGCCTTCACGCGCCGCGGCACCGACGCCCTCGACCAGGTGGTCCTCGTGCAGCGGTGGTGGCGCGCCAAGCGCGAGGCGGCCTTCGCCCACGAGCTACATCGTCGAGTACAGGCCTTCGAGATGGCAATCGATACAGCCAAGCGAATCGTGGCGCCCAAGAGAACGTGCTTGGAACTGCGAAGGCTGCTACTCGAGCTCATCGCCCAAGACGAGGAAGATGGCCAGCCGAAGATGAAATCTTGGTCTGCACCATCATCATTCTTCGGTGGCGTGGTCTCAGCGATTCTGGCCAGGCCAAGGAAGAACCAGGCCGGGGTGAGGTTCACGCGAGAGTTGGTGGAGGCTCTTCTGCCTGAGCAGCTCCTACTTGACCTCATCGCACCATTCGAGCGATTCATCGCAGACGCCAACGTAGCGCTCCGCGCCGCCAAGCAAGACACAGCCATCTCCAACAACAAGAAGAAGGAGAAGGAAGTAGACGATGAAGGCGAAGAAGATGAAGAAGCAGCATCTGAGACCGAGGCTGGGCAACGACAAGCCTTTGCGGCACTGCTGACGCGGCTGTTGAACGAGAGCATAAGTCCCATCGGCGCATACCTCACCCACCTGCGTACCGAGCGCGTCCGTGAGCGCATCACCTCACTCTGCAAGGTAAACTTCTCTCTTCTTTGCGGTGGTGCGTGTCGTGTATGTCGTGCGTGTCGTGTCGTGCGTTGACAACGTTGCGAGCAGGATGCGGACCTGGAGGGAGACGCGCGGTACTGGACCCTCTTGTCGCAACACTTCGCCTCGCCGCCGCTCATCGCCGCCATTCCGGACCAACTGCTCGACTTCGTCGACGACCCCAGCTACGGCTACGTCTACCCGGCGAGCGAGCGGGCCAAGGCGACGCGGACCGGCATCAACACGTTCGGCTTCGTGTTCGCCATCGGGTGGGGCAGCATCATCGTGCGCGTGTCGATGGCCATCAACCAGCTGGTCGCCGACACGGTGCCGCCGCACCCCGACCGCCGCAACCTCGCCCAGCTGGCCAGGCAGATGCAGGTCTTCTTGAAACTTTTGGACATTGCCAGCTCCAACACGCCTCTGTGCTATGACTGAAACAAAAATAATAAAAGAAGAGATAAAAAAGAAGATAAAGATAATAATAAAAGATAATAATAATAAAAGATATAATTATTATTATCTCGTTGTAATATAAAAAAGATCAAGAAGAGGCGGCGGCCCTTGATGTCGAGGGTGATGCGGTGGTGGAGGAAGGAGAAGATGGAGATAAAGATGAAGATGGTGAAGCGAGGTGATGATGGTGGCCTACGAGCGCCGAGGCGTGCATGATGGCGGCGATCTCCTTCTGGAATTCCTGGAGCAGCAGGAGCGCCTGGAGGAAGCCCTCGACGTGTGGCGTCGCCAGTACCTGCTCGCCCCTCCGTCGCGCCTCGGCTTCTTCCTCTTGCGGCTCTTCGTTCTTTGCTTTCGTGTCGCTTTCGTTTTCGCTCTTTGACGTCACCGTGCCGTTGCGCTTGGGCTCGGGCTCGCCGCCGCCGCCGAGCATGCGTGCTCGGAGGAGCGACAGCGCGTCCTGGTAGCTGCCCAGCAGGCCCAGCTCGGCGCACCGCTTCTCAGCGCGCTCGGCCACCCGCGCGAGCGGCACGTAGAGCGACGCGGACGACGCGGGCGCGAATAAATAGCTCCGCACGGCCGGGTGCGGGTGGACCGCCATCTTGCCGATGGCCGAGGTGAGGACGAGGTTGGTGTCGAGCGACTGGTCGAGGAAGGAGCCGACCTGCTGCCACAGGGCCTGCACGAGGGGCTCGCCGCTGTAGAGGCCCGGCAGCGAGGCCGACGACGAGCTCAGCGTGGAGGGCGACGTGGGCGCCGACGGACGCGACAGCGCGTGGTGTGCATCCGCCAGATATCCCTCGTAGCCTGGCATGCGTTTCCACGTCAGCATTATTATCATTTATGTAAAAGTAACTGGTGGGCAGTACCTGTGGGCGTGGCGTCGCGTGCGGGGAAGAGTGCCAAATAGGCCCGGGCCGCCTCTACTCCTGGGTCGCTCGCCTCCTTCGATTCTCCTGCCATCACACGACACACACGACGCACACACGCCACAAAGTAGCATGTTTAGAGTGGGTGAGCGGTGGCACGTGAAGGTGAGAGAGGAGGCACCATTGCTGGCCGTCATGAGGGCGGACGACGAGGGGCAGACGAGGAGCGTGAGGGCCTGGTTGAGCGCGTTGTCGATGAGCTGGAGGTCGGAATGGCGCACGTCCTCGTTGGCTGCCGCCACGCGCGTTGTAATCGAAGCGGCCAGGATGCCCATGCTCTCCTCCACGCTAGACTTGCCAATCTGGACACGTGCGACCGCACACGCGACACGACACACCACACCACGCACGCACGCACACGACGCGAGCGGGTGAACAAAAGGCCTGTTGGCTACTTCGGCGATGGGGGGGGGACAAAGGGTACCGGAAAGATGGAGTTCAAGAGGGCGTGCAACAGGGGTGGTTCGGTGTGGTCGATGATATGACCCACGTATCGCGTGCTCACCGCCAGCTCCGCGTCATTCCTTTTCGCAGCCGAGAGAGGAGGTTAGCTGTGCGTCCGCGCGTGCGTGCGTGGTTACGGAGGAAAGGGCGTACGGCTGTAGCAAGGCAGGTCCGAGGACTGCCAACACGAACTCATCCTCGAATACGCGCAACAGCTCCTGTCGCAGCTCCTGGAATCGATTCACAAAGGAAAGAGTTCGAGTATTCTCAATCGCACACGACACGGCACGGCACGGCACGACACACGACACGACACGACACGACACGACACGACACGACACGACACACGCACATGCGACACACGATGATACCTGATGGGCAGACTTAGTGAGGGAGCTGTAAAAGTTAAGGTGGCGGAGAAGCGCTTCCATGGCGGATGAGGTCACGGAGGCCGTGGGCGGCAGCCGCGCGGGGAGGGCGCGGAACAGGCGCGG